TCCGTCCACACCAGCGTTTTATCTGCGTATTAGAAATGATCTCCGTCCACATTAAAACGACTGAAAACGCGGATCACGTGACCATTCACCAACACTGGGCATGCGCGTGCCGGTGTAAACAGTGATTGACGAATCAGGGAAGGATACGTCATGACTGATAACACCCAATCATGGAGCCAAGCGTCAGCCCCTGCGTCAGCGTTTCTGAAGTCCTACGTTTTGTCTCGTCCACTAAAACGGCCTTTGGAGATTCAAAACGCAAAACGGAGCTGCAGCGTTTCTAAACTTCTCCGTTTTAGGTCTTCGTTTTTCCCGTTTTAGTCTGGACGGGAGGTGCAAACGTAGCAAAACGCAGTAGTGTGGACGGGGCCTAAATCAGGGGGGGGTCAAAGAATTACAGGATTACTAGAAACTTCCAGGCAGGCGTTTTTGACAGTTTGACACATGGTTTAAATTATGACAAAAAAATATTAGTAAATTGAACAGAATTACAGAATAACTCCTATTTGGAAGTACACCATATCTCTTAAAAACAAACAACACAAGAGCTGATATCTACATCAAAGAAGTGAAACCCAGCACAAGGTCAGTTGAAGCGTGGACATGTGGTCAGGTTGTGGGCAGTGCAGCGTGGTACGAAAGAAACAGCCCCCAACACATGACAATATCTCTTGAGGTCTGACTGTCCTACTCACCGTGGGCACATACAAAGTTGAACTCACACACAAACCCTACGCTTTGGCAGAGGCACATTCGCACAATCAGACCGTTTGGTCTGCGAGACACCACCCACACACACACACACACACACACACACACAGAGAGACAGAGGCACATGCACTGACACACATAATCCATTGGCCTGTGAGACACTGCCCACACGCACTGGCAGATGCAAGCTGAGTCACTCGTAAGTGCAGACGGGTGGATTCGAGCTCCCTGGGTCCTGTGAGATTACTAAGCAGCTGCCTGGCGTACACACAAACATACATCGACATGCTCCCAAAATCACACATGAAGTTGGACAAAAGAAATTGCCATCAGATCCAGTTTTACATGGGACATGAAACTCCATTGAAAGATTTGCAAATTTCCCAAAATTGGCAGGCTTGTCATTCACCAAGTTCCACACAAGCTTTGTGCCGTATGTGTTGATTAAACAGTTTGATCATATTTTACAAACAATAGTGTGTAGTAAGCTACATCTCCATTCAAAACATTTTTGCAAATTTAAATACATTTCATAGATTTCTCCCCCAAAACCAATGCAGAAAAATGTAACAAAATTTTTTAAAAGGGCATTAAAAAGACAGCTATGCAGTCTCATGAAATCCCAGATTTTACTTGTAGCAACCCGACACATTACCACATTACCATTTATTGTACAAAATTGAATAGGCCGAACAACTGGCAAAATAATAAACATGACATAAGCTAAATGGGACAACTGAAAATGTCCAATATTTCAATGTAAACAAAACACACTGAAGTCAGCACAAACCATGTCTATAGTATTCTAGTTCAAGACAAGTGAACCATTAAAAAGAAGGTTCACTTGGACTGGAATTCTCTAAAAGTTTGTTCTTGATGTGAGGAATCGGGGATAAAGGAAGTAAATTTGCGGTAAATTAACTTGTAGCAAAATACTATGCATCAAAAAAAAAAAAAATATATATATATATATATATATATTATCAAATATGATGCTTGGGTTATTCAATTTGATTAATTGGGTAATTGAACTTGGTATTCTGTTCAGTGTGTCATGTTCTCAGGTGATAAAGTAAACAAGTTGTATTAAAATTCTTGGGCACTGAGCTAACTCTCTATATTTCAGCCAAACAATTCTTACTGCTATCTATCATCCAATTCGGTCACGGTGAAGAGCGTCCACACATTGATATGTTTACCTTATCCACTTTGTGTGCACAGTATAGACACTGACACTGTCAAATGCGTCATCAGGAAGCACTAATTAAACATCATAGTTTCGGTCAATGGTTTCAGTTCTAAAAGCGAAAATTGACTTTTGCTCTTTCTGCCAAATATTTTAAGCTGCCAAAATTTCAGTGCAACACTACAAAATACTGTAGAGTTTATGTATCCAACAACACAAAATACATAGGATAACGTTACATTGCATCTTTTTGAATTGAACAAGGTTTTCCCATGCTGTCTGTCATAAAACCAAAAATTCTGGATCACGACCCCCCAGTTGAGAATCACTGAAGTGAAAGATGATGCCGGATAATGTCAGGCCCACTACTTTGTTCTTCTATCAGTGAGTGCAGTTTACTGCTCCACTGCATCCGCATCTCTTTATTTCTTATAATAGAAAACCCCACTGCGGCCTCACAATACCCATAATTATACAAATCACAGAGACTAAAGAAGCCAAGAGATCCAATGAGGAATGAATATTCTCCCACTTAAAGTCTGAAAGGACAAAACAACCTCAATGCTCAAATCTAAAGGTAACACTGGTCATGACTGGCCACTTCTCACCACTCATATAATACAACAAATGCTACAGGATATCGAATTAATGATACAATGAGGTTTAAAGTCATTATTCTTGGAAATAATTACTTTCCACAGTGTCTTTTTGAAGTAGTCAGTTTTTAAAATTATGACTTCATCCTGCTTAAAATCATCCTATCTATGAGAAGATTGGTAATGCGTAAGCTTGATGTCTTTAGTTAATCCTGAAACAATCAATCAAGTACAATCCAGCAGAAAAAAAAATTTTGAAATTTTCATCAAGGGTCATAAAAACATTGGAGACTGTAAATACTCTGAAACTTCTGCCATCAAGAAGATAATACTAATGCATGCAAAATAATCCTGAAGGAGGATTACGTGGTCAAGAAACGTCCAGTTATTAAACTAAAGCTTTTCTTTTGGCCGGTTACACAACTTCTCCAGGCTCATGAAAAATGTATCTCCGTTTGTAAGACTTACAGTACAAGAGAAATAACTACCTCCTCTAGGACCCGAGATATTATCATGACCTCATTTTGACCAAGTTAGAGCAACTTTCCTGTTTGTTCACATACTGTTTGCTGTGCAGGTTGTCATTTCCTCATAAGCACACATGTACATGTGACTAATCATGTTTTTTTTTCCCAAAACCTCCAATTAAAAATACCATACATATCCAATCACAGGAAACGAGAATCCTAATAGTAACAAGTCAGCTCTGCAAAATCACTATAGAGATGATGACTGATATCCAAGAGAGCACTAAAAAAGCATTGTGTATTATATTACTATATATCATCTAATATGAAAAATTACATAACATGCAGTTTGACATAGTAAGTTAATCTAAACCTATTTACTATTGATGTTTGTTTAAAAGCTTAACTCAACTAATATTATCAAATATATATTTTCCTAATTTTGATATACCATACATAAACATTTTATGACCTCATATTATTTACTATTTGATCATTTCAAAATTAATGTCACACTACAGGACTATTTAGCTGTAAAAACATTATATATATATATACTATACTATATATATACGTTATACGTACGGGCGTACTATATATATATATATATATACTGTTACATTTTTCATGATTTGATATCACAACATTTTTTCTTTTGTCAAATCAACTTAAATAATTTAGTTAGTTCACATAACTTATTATTTTGAGTTTCTGATGATTAAATCAATCTCCTTCATTGTATTAACTCGAATAATTTTTTTGTATTAACTTTGTTGTATTTTTCCGGTTCAATCAACTTAAATTTTAAGGCAACCAGGAAAATTTTAACTTAAAATTTTAAGTTAAACCAACAATATTTTTTACAGTGATATATATATATATATATATATATATATATTACTGTCGTGAATTACTATCGTGAATGCTTTTGTATACCCATGGACGACATGTACAACATATGCCGTGACGCCTTATTTTCACATATCGCATTGAAATATTAGCATTAAAAAAGGTGCACTTGCAACATGGTTTCAGGCACACACAAAAAATATTCTGCACCATTTTCCTCTGAACCCAAAGAAAAGTTAAAAGTTCAGAAAAATGCCACCCCTGCATGCCCAAGTAATAATAGTGTGCCTTCCTTCTCTAGCCAAGGATATTAGCTCCATGGGTTGGAATTAACAGCCTAAACATTAAAGTCCCTTAACAGATGTCCGGAGGATTGGACTAACACGCTTCACTGGGTCAGCCTCAGCAGCCACCAAGGTTTAGTTTGGTGAGTCAGGTGGTTTCAAGAAGGTACGCTACAACAGACACGAGCTCCACCAGGGAAAATCTGGCAGAGAAATGAAGTAAATGTACGTTCCTATCGCATGCGCGTGCCGTGGGGATCCATGGAAGTGCGTTAGTCGCTCTTTCCTGTTGGGACTCAGATGTGCTCCATCTGTTTTACACAATCAGCTTCACAGCCAGAAAACTCAAAGCAAACCCTAAGTTACATACAGTGCATCATTTACATATTAAGCATTTCACAAATTCCAAACATGAAAGAACAACAACACTAGAGAAAAAATTTAAAAAGTAAACACTTGAAACATATGCATGCTCTTCACATACAAGTGATGAAATCAAACTATAGGCACTCGAAACTCACTTGTCTCCCAGCAGTGAGATTACAGGTTCAAATATTTGGCTAAACTGGTTCTACACTGAAACCAGATATTTCTGCCTTTAAGTACATGAGCCTCTACTCTGCATCATTTAAAGGAATAGTTCACTAGTAATATAACATCTGTCATAATGTAGTCTCAGTCACTATTCACTTTCATTGTAAAAGATTTTTGGGCGTACTGTCCCTTTAAGCAAGTTATTAATCAGCAAGTAACTTTAAAAGAGAAACCCTTTGCATACACATTTTAGTTTAATTTTACAATATGAATAAATAAATCTAACAGAGAATACATAAAATGCAACCAATGCAGCGTAATTACAAATATAACACTATAAATCTGCCTATTTAATAATAACAGTGAAACTCACCTTATAGACATTCTCCGTTATACGATGCACCTCGTCGGTCCGGGACATTTTGGAAGCTTGAGTCAGAACCATAGACGAGAATTTTAATTTCTACTGCAGAAAATGTTTCCGAGAAAACACTGGAGTAGGAGGAGCAGGAGGAGGGAGAGGAGACACTGTATCGTTCAAACAGAGAGTGTCAGAGGCTGAGGAGGATGCGGGAGCTTTTATATGGAACTCTCTCACTGATGCCCACGCGCAGCCGCCGGAGTGGCGGGAATCCACCGTGCGCGTTCATCCTCGTCACTGGAACTGCGCTTGATATTCCAACGGACTCCGCCTTTCCTCTTCACCTTCTACGCTGCGAATGCGGCGCGACACGACAAAAGAGCTTTCTTTCATGGTTATAACAGAAGCGTTCGCGGGCAGTGAAAGAGCTGCAGTCAGATGTGTGACCATTATTACAACATTGCGTCGCTTGCCTTCGAAGAATGCAGACTAGTGCTATCATAATTGCAGCGTTCATGTTTTGCGCGTCGTTACCGCTGTGTTGGGGTTGCCAGGAACAGTCTGTACTTTGGATGTGGGTACCATTGCTATGTTCAAAATCGCCCCCTATACCCTGTTTTATTATAAGCTAGGAGTGAATTAAAAGGACTGCACCGGTCCGGAAGGTTTGCATAGTTTGTGCTTGCCGTTTAATAATCATTTAAAACTTGGCAGTTCCAGTAGTAGGCTATGAAGATCTATTGAACTCTCTCATGGAAAATAGCATGTACAAACCAAATAAACAAATTAATAATCAATTAAAAAGGAAATTAATTATACCTGTAGATATTAGCATAAACATGGGCACATTGGGCAGCATTCAGAAATAGCATCTACTTCCCTACTATATAGTAGGCAAAAAGCAGTGTGTGACAAAAGTAATTCACACCTAAAAGACCTGGCAAAGAGTACCCGGATGCCTTACTTCCGGCGAGATTCTGATGTGTGCATTATGGCGTTGGTTGCATTATGGGGTTGAATGAGTGCACTTGAGAACGTCCACTATGGTTTTAGACACCACTACAAATGACTATGCCTTCAAATAATGGTATAGGAGGTGTTTTCAGACACAGCCCTTTTAGTGGGGGGCATTTTTAATTCATTTTAATGAGCTGAATTTTTTTAAAGTTTGAAACCTCCAAAAAAGACACTGACCTTTGTCGTGAAAGTGTGTGAAATGAGCAAGTCATTGCATTATACATTTTTAGCAAAGTTGTGTTTGACTTCGAAAGCGATCGTTTCGAAGCGGCGATCGATCGATACCGATCTCATGGTACTTTCGGCCTGCGCAGACGCAGCGGTGCTATTTCAAGTCGAACACAACTTTTGCTTTAGTAAACAAACAAACAAAAAAGAGTTCAAACTATTTGTTTGTTTTACCCTAAAACCGTATTCTGGACAAATGTTGGCATAATAGGTTTGATTTATTTAAAAAAAAAAAAAAATACTTCCCTTGATCTGAGCGGTACAAGACTTGGCAATTTTTTTTTTGAATCAATTCTATTCAATATTCTATTTTTTGACTCAATGTTAAGTGGGTGAAAAAAAAAAACTCCTTAATCTTGTATTTGTGTCAAAAATGGGCACCCATAGAAATGAATGGGAAAAACTGTAATTTAGAGCATTCGAAAATAAGCCAAAAATAAGACACCAGGTGAATGCAAAGTCATTTCATCTTTAGGTTTTAGCTCTAAGAACTTATTGGAATGATATTTTAATGTAGTTAAAAAGAATAAAACATAAAATAAGCATAATTTACATAGAAAATATGTTACTTTTTGAAGTAAATACATTCAAAAATACCCCCAAAATAAAAATAAAAAAACACACCATAAATGGATAGACAAAACTTTATCGAAGACAGTGATATAACATTTATAATAAATAAAAATTAGGATCACATCACACCTGAGCCCTTTGTCCACAATTACAGGATTAAGGGCTAATACGGTTTGAGGGCTACAAGATTCATTATCACCCAAAAGTTTGTTTTTTTTAAAGTGGATCTTTAGAACAATATGTATATTGTGAAAAACGTCACTCAAATACATTTAATTTGATATGAGACAATGACGAGACAATGTTATAATGAAATTTGACATTGTCAGTTAGAATAGACGTCATAAACGATTTCTAATTTTATGAATGAGCTATTGGAGTCAATTAATCATTGATTTGTTGAGTTAAAATGAGAAATCCATCTCTAAATGTATGAGTTAGATGAGGTTTTTTCTGTTTTGAGAAACATTTGCTTTAGCCTATATTCCCAAAATTAAGAGTCATGACTCACTCAGATAGTACAAATATCACCCAAGGACTGGAGGAGGATCAGATGAGATGAGTACAGCATAGTGGGCACTGCGCAATTCATGCGTGGGTCTGTGCGTGTGATGTAGGCAGGGATTCCTTTTGTATCCCTGAGCAGCTTCTACCCACACCACCAACACACAACCTTTCCCTGCTGCACTCTCCCTCTCTCTACTATCTGAGAACTACACAAACCAAGAATAAAACCTCATTTTCAGGATTTAGAGCACCTGATGAGATCATTTAAGTCTCAAGAATTTTTCTTGAGTAGCCTAAATCAAAATTTGACTTTTTTTTTAAAGTCAAAACACATTTATTTACTTATTTCATTTTTTATTTTTCAGAATTTCAATTTAAGTATTTTTTTTTTAATTCTGCTGTTCTGTAAAGCACTTTGGTCAGCTAGTGGCTGATGTTGTAAAATGTGCTGTATAAATAAAATGAGCCTGAACTTGAAAAGGTTATCAATTATGTATCAATTTCACTTTCAACTATTTAGCAGCTCTACAGAACAATTGGGTTATTATTCAGCTCAATTCAGTTCAAGTTTTTGTGTTCTTCTCATCCAGTAATATTTTCTGAATATTAATTGTGTATAAGCCTGGCAATAGACATTAAGATGATTGCTAGATTAAGGCAATATTTTGTTGTTAAGATTGAGCCACTGAAGTCACTTGGACTATTTTAACGATGTCTTTAATAACTTTTCGAGGCCGGCAAGAGTCAATTCCTCAAGAAGCCTATGGACTAGTATGGAGGAGTGATCCAGCTCTCCGATTTCATTAAAAATATCTTAATTCGTGTTCCGAGGATGAACGAAGGTCTTACGGGGTTGGAACAACAAGAGGGTGAGTAAACACTGACAGAATTTTCATTTTTGGGGAAAATATCCCTTTAAATCATTTAACTTTTGCTGTTAAAGGGCCTTTGATTAGCCAATAATAGAACATTTATGTTTTTGTTATTCAAAAACAAGCAAGCCAGCCCAAGTGAGAAAAAGTAACACAAAAGTAACATAACATTACTTTTTTTACGCAATATTGTAACGCATTACTAAAAGTAACTTTCCCCAACACTGTGTATTATAATAAAAGATGTGTATGTGCATTCATGAGTATGCCAATAGGATTATACAGTAATAGTAACCACAAGATTTGGACCTTAATCAAAAACAAATGTTTTTTTGCATGTGAACTTTGCCACATATGGTGGTTATGGCCCTGACAACACCTTTCAGCTGTTTCGATAGAAAAAGCATACAATTTTAGTTCAAACCGTGTTGTTGCACACCTGTATGTAATTTTCGAATGAAACCCCAAGACCTTGATTAATTAGATTCTGTTGATTACAATTGGAACTAAATTTCACAGAAAGGTAGATCCCGAAAAGCCAGACTGAGTTCCTGTGTTTCCGTTTTAAAGGTGGTGTGCGATGCTTCTTGATTGCAAAGGTCAAGAAATTGAATCTGAGACAATGGACAATTTCCTTTCTTTTGTTTCTTTTTCAGTTAGTTGCATATGAACGATAAGATGCTTCTGTCTAGAGGCCACATCGATTGCTTTCATATCACAGTGGAAGTCTTATCTACTGGATGCATCAAGACTGAATGTAAAGGGTAAATAAAACGCAAAACAGAGATCAATGCAGACAGCTAAAACCAGCATTGCTTCAGAACACATTTTAAATGTGGAATTATGAGAAAAGGCCAAAATGTTATTGAATTAAGATACAGATAGAATCTGTTTTATGTTCAAATAAAGACTTTAAAGTTAAAAAGAAAGGAGTTAAAATTGTGTAGGAGTCCCATATCTCATTATACATATCAGTCTGTTCTGTTTCTAGGAAACCCAGTTTCTGTCTTTACTGCACATTTTTCACACCCCCATATGTTTACAGATCAAAGTCCGTTGTCTGACTGTAACAGTATGAAACTACTTCACATTGAGCTCTGCTGGAGCCATTCAGACTCGGGGGGCAGCCGCCCACTCCCATAATGCTTTGTGCCAGGCGAGATAAGAGCAGCCCCACACAGCTCCAACTGCCTGGTTCCAGACAATGGACTTCCAACAAAGCAACACAGGTACTTGGTTTTAGGTCAATACCATACAAACAATGTTCTAACTTAAGCTTGCTAAAGAAAATCTGCACTCTACTGGAACAGGCTGTAACACGAAATGCATTTGCTGCTGTAAATCTAAACTATTAGTTAAAAAACAGTTCTTTGATTTTTTTTTTTTTTTTATCTTGGCAAATCTGAGCTAAGTTTGAGATTTATTGTCTGAATGTTGTCAGAAAAATCTGGGTTGCTCGAGTTTTCAACAAACATCTCCATTTCATGTCAATGCTGCGTCTAGTTATTATATTGTGTTTATATATAATAGACATACTTTGTACACTACTATGCAAACATTTTGTGCTTTTAAATAAAAATAAATTACATTTTATTCAGCAAGGAAGCATTCAATTGATTAAATTAAGGGTAATAGTTGTTGAAAATTCAGATTTGTAAGGTCCACATGAATAAATATTATTTTAAAATATATTCAAATAGAAACCAGGTATTTTAAATTGTTATAATATTTCATATTACTGTTTTTACTGTATTTTTTATCAAATAAATGCAGCCTTGGTGAACTTATCAGACTTCTTTTAAAAATGTAAACAAAAAAATCTAACCATATTGCCCACATTTTGAAAGGTAGTTTATATGAGAATATAATAAACATTAATAAAGAAAGAAAATCTAATTTGTGTACTTTTGTTTCTATAACTAAGATGTGATATATCTAAGACCATTTAAGTAAATGCATGATAATTGCCTGCAAAAGCACAGCCTTGTATAATACTGCTGCCTAGTGGCTGCTACATATACGTGCAGGGAGTTAGGCACAACAGTAATGAAAAATTATTACAAAAAATCCATTGTTGCATATTTACAAAAAGAAACGAGGGAGACAGACTATAAACTAATGTACTTAATGAACAGCAAATTCACAGTACAGTAAAAGAGGGCTAATTTGTTTAAATAAATCAGTGTGTTAGTCAAAAACAAAAAGGATAATGTGATTATTTATGCTTCTATACATCATATCCTTGTATCTTATGCATACAAACAAAACACTGTGTGTACAGCATAATGCAATGACTCTGAACAGAAGTGGTTTTGACTTTAAAATGACATTTCTGTTGTAGTATACCTGCATTTTCCTTCAAGGATGTTTATTTACCAATCTATAAATCAGTTTTAACTACTTCTTAAGCCAGGCTTGTCATAGTTTAGTTTTTAATGACATCTTACAGCACAGTGAAAATTTTGTAAAAGTTTATGTTCATAATGGAAACGTTTCAGGTTTATGTTATTTGTGACAAAACATGGCGTACTAAAGTTTGAGAATAATTTTTAACAGAGATTGTTATAATAAAAGTAATCATGCATTAGAAAAGTGACAAGCTTAGACATGATATGCCTTTGATATATACTTGAAAGATCAGACAAAACTGAAGGGGTGATTAGAAATACCAGGCACTGTTAAGAGTGATCTTCAGAATGATCATCTTACTAAACTAAATGGTGTACAGTATGCTGTCTGTATATACAATTTTAAAAAATGGCATTGATGAAGGGTATTCAACATGTACGAGGAGGAGGACTGTTAATCACTCCTCAGAGCTTTGTTTAGGATGAGCCCTCGGGGTCTCCAGTGGGATGACTCGAGAGAAGACATGGAGGTACGGATGTACAGATCTTTATTTACACTGCCACCATTTCTCGCTCTGGTTTCTTTTTCGCCCTCTCCTTCTCCCGCACTGAAACATTACAAACATGTTTTCTAAGCATTTGCATTTTGCGCTCTTTTATGCATAGTACAGAAAAAGAGAAGAAAACACAGACCTGGCTCTTGCTCTGGAACCTCTGGTAGTTCTTCTTCAGGCACCTCAGGAAGTTCAAGGTCAGCATCTCCCTGAGCACAAATAGGAAATGAATAAGATGGATGAAAAAAACAGCAGCTGACACAACATCAGAAACAAGGACTGTCAGAGTGTGTTCATGCACACACCTGAGTGATGGCCTCCAGCTCTGCTAGCACAGCCTCCTCATCCTCCTGGGTCAGAGATCCCACCAGCATATCATCAATTTGCTGCGCACACACAGAGACAACCAGGAATGAGGGAAAAAACACTTGTACATCGTGCACAGTTGATTTAAATAGAAACAAGCACAAAAGAGACCCAGCGTGTCTGCGAGTGAGATCCAGCTGCCTCTCAGTTCTTCTAGATTTGAGGATGTAGCACATGTCGTGTAGAGTATAATAGATCATTACAGCCTTTTATGGCCGCTTATCTTTGGACTTTTTTTCCCCCCCATTTTGACAAAGATGTCAGTGCAAATATTTCTCTGGCATATGCCCCTGCAAAATGAGATGTTGCATCTCAAGGGGCTATCCTTTCAATAAATTCAAATTCAAATAATGATCAGTGAAAAATCATTTTGTTGCACATAACAATTTGAAGAGAAATCTGTTAAAACATACAAATCCAACTGCAGGAGTACAGTGGGAGACCTATTCATCTAAATCTGGAAGTGTTAGGATTTAGAAACATTTAAGTGTAAAAAGTTTTTTTTTTTTTATGAGAACTGAAGATACATAATTGTTAGGTCACAAATGAACAATATAATTAGTAATAAAAATATGCAAAAGAGAAGCACTTTTTTCTCTTTGGCCCCTACTGTAGGCTATATCTAAATGTATTACAATAAAGTGTCTTATGACTTTTACTGTGGCCGAAAACTGCTTAGACTAAACCTACAAGTTAGATTATGAAAAGTAAAATGTACCTTCTGATACTCAATGGCATCACTTGTTTCATCCATGATCTTCTCCACATCCTCTATGGACAGCATCTGGCATCAGGAAAAAAAAAATAGAGATATTGCTGTAAAAGTTAAATTAACCAGTACATTGTACTGAACGTGACCAAGAATAACATTTAATTTCTCAATACATACCTCATGCATTTTCTTCAGGCAATCATTGCCAACTTTCAGTCCTTCAATGACTTTTATCTCTATTTGTGCAAATTCAATATCTTGTACCTGTCAAATAAAAATAGATCTGATTGTGATATGCATGAATAATGTCAGATAAATTAAAAAAAGATAATAATACAGAAAAAGACGCAATCATGTTAAAACATGTATCAAACATTCTCAAGGTAAGATCCGTTTTATTTACCATCCGCTCCAGGTTGCTTATCTGATTTTCAGTTTTGTTCAGTAACTGGTCCTGGTAGCGTTTCTTCTTGAGAAGTAGGAGTGCTTTCCTGAACAAACACAAAATATTATAAGGAAGAGTCAGTTTGTTTTAGTAAACTAGACTATACTAGTTCTACAAGAAACACGAGGAGAGACATGATCACACTCACTCTTTTTTTCCATCTTTCAATAACTGTTTGGCCAGTTGTCGCTCTTTTTCTACATGAAAAGTGATCTTCTTCTGATATTGCTTCAGTTTATCTCTTTGCTGCTTCAGTTGCTGCTCACACACAAATAATAATAAAGAAACATTAAGTGAAAGTGACAAGATTTGTGATTCTATAGCAGAGTTGTTTTCTACAAAATAAACTGCACTTTCATATACATACAATTTATATATAAACATACTATATATATGTGTGTGTGTGTGTGTGTGTATATATATATATATATATATATATATAGTATGTTTATTTATATATATATATATATATATATATATATATATATATATATATTGTATTTGCATTTATATATATATATATATATATATATATATATATATATATATTTACTTCTCTCATAAGACTTATTAGCCAGTTAGCAGCTGTCTAACACACACCAGCACAGCTCTGTCCTGCTCGGTCACCCGAGTTGCTTTCTTTTTCCCGAAAAGATTTCCCATGTCGATGCCGCATCCCCGCCACTATCCGTCGAGACAGGGGTGGTGTTTTTAAAATTTAGAAAATGGTAATTCCATAAGCCTCGTATGTCTGTAAATCCATGACAGCAACACTGAATTTTGAGCTGTGGAAGAAAACAGCAACCCGGCCTACCGGAAGTTATGTACTTCAAAATAAAAGCCCTATATAAATAACTTGTTTTATTATTAATAATAGTCATTATTCTTACTTCGAAATTAATACATTAATAAAATTGTTTGGTTTGCTCATTATTGCAAATAACCAACACATCTTTACTGTTCAGTTTTAGTTCTGTCGGTGAAAATAAAAGTATGGGTTAGGGTTAGAGCTTTAGGGACTTTGACTAAGCCTAGCCTAGTTGTCTGTGGTGACTAATTCACCGAGCCACACCTTTAGGTCATCTAGCAACCAAGTTACTTATAATTCTCTAAAGAGACTACTTACATGCCACATTTCTATTTGTCCAAAATGTAAAAGTTAAATGTCCTTCATCATAATCTACCACTTCATCCTGACCGGATGTGGACGTGGCATACAGCCTCAGTTCTTCCGGTGCGCGTGAGGAAGGGATTAAACGTCTGTCTCTCTGCTCTTTCCGTGAAAGAACGGTAGCCTCGTCGCGTTTACCGGCGTTTAGAACCGGAACGGCGTCCTGACGAATCGTTCCTTAATCCATCGAGCTGTTTATGAGGTGAGCTGTCAGATGGCGCTAGATATTTGTTATTTTATTTGGACATTTATTTCCCTGTCACTGTTAGCTTAGCTTAGCACATTCAGCGCTAGCCGCAGCGTCGAGTCACTAATGCGTTTTATCTATATTTAATACATTAAAGTGACACATTTCGCTGTAATTCATACGATATAAGGGTTTATTGAGGTAAGATCCGTGTTGGCAGACCAAGTGGGTCATTTCCTGATTGTGTTTTAATAACCGGCAACGGTAAACATCTCAAATTAGCTTAGCAAGAGGTGAGAGAGTGAGTGGATTTAATGTCCTTACACGCCACATAGTGATTTAAAGAATATAGTTATGAATTAAAGCATAACGCGTGGAATGTAACTTAATGTCCCAGTTAATAGTATGTTATTTAGTTACTTTTAATACTAGCACACGAGTTTGGTGCTAATGCATCTGTTTGACTTATGTTTAGTTTCTCAAGTTGTTTGACATTTCTTCTACTTGGAGTCTCTTAATATCATGATATTACTGTATTTTAGTTGCTTTGTTTTTTATTCGCGTAAACACGCTCATGTCCCTCTCTTTTGTTTACATTTTCCAAATTTGTGTGAATGAAACTGAAAGCACAACACTGGTTTCCAGACACGTTAGAGTCTCTGACGTGGTATCATATGAAGTTGTCAAGATCGTTATGCTCACCTAAACTGACCAAGTAACGTTAAGGTTCTCACAGTTTTTTGTGAAAATCCATTAAAAAGGACATTCATCTTACTGTTCCCCATAGTAAATTAATGGGTAACTGAGAAATATTTTATTTTATTGTATACCATGCCCCTTTATTGACAAATGTATCTTTATTTTCATTTCAAAATTTTAGAGAATCTCACTTTTCTACCATGCCTTTTGGTCAAATCCATTCCACAGATGGACAAGCAATTTTAGAGGCATGTTGGTTGTTTGAATATCAGTGTTTTTAAGCCTTAGGTCATGAAACCTGTTGCTTGGGTCAGAAGACTTGCTACTCGAGTTTGAGTCTCTGACTTGAATTTCCACGTCTGCTGGCTTCTCTTTATGTAACGTGCACAACTTCGATGAGTATATTCAGGTCATGCAGCTACAGGCCTGTCATTTCATTTCAGGCTGATAGATGGAAAATTAGCGTGTTTACCTCTGGAAGTCCTCACACATGGGAGACTGTATACTATTACGGTATCCATTGCCTTGAATTATTCAACATATCATTCAAGGCTGTGTTGTGCTCAAGCTTCTCAGCTGTTACATGCTATAAACCTGAGAAACAGTATTTTTATAGGAGATACTTTGACACTTAAATTTAGATCTAGAGATTTCATAATAGCTGTTGTTGAATCTACTTTCCATATGCATTTTGATTTCAAGGTATCTGCTATTAAAAAGCAAGTGTGCTGGCACTAATTGTTTAATTTGAGTAGACTACAATCTGCTTGTGTTTCATTGATGTTTGTGAAATTGATATGTGGGAGACACTATTAATGTTATCAGCTTCAGAAGTTACTTCAGTTTGTCGTGAGTTTGTAATGAGTCTCAGATGTTTGGGATGGGTGTGAAACTATTGCCGTCATACATCTGCTGTGTTCTGTGAATGTATTTAGGGTGTGCTTTCTTTTGAAATTTGAATCAGTCCTCTTAAATAGTGTTATGCCTATGAAGTGTTTTAAAAGGATCAAGGTTTACTTCAAGGTTTTTCAGGCATAGTTTAAAGTTAACATGAAATCAATTTAACCTTTTTACTTTATTAATGCATTTTCTTTTATTTATTTGTTAATTATAATACATAATTTCATTAATCACAACAAAATAACATGTTCGGTTCTAAATTTCTCTTTCCTATTTGAATCAATTGGCTGGCAATACTTACAAAGCCATGTGGGCTGTTAGTTAATGCTTACTAATATCCAAATATGGATATTTTAGGCTACTAAATTCTTGCCAATTAATGTGAAAATGTCATGCCTGTTAACATTAATTTAATAAAATTAATGTTCACACTTCTAATTCTCACTTATTAAGTATGACTTTTGTCTTAAACACCTTATTATTGCTTATTATTAATGTAGCTGTTAAGTTTAGGTATTGGGTGGGATTAAGGGATGTAGAATATGGTCATGCAGAATGAGACATGTGCTTTATAAGTGCTAATAAATCATAATAAGCCAATATATAGTAAAAGGCATGCTAATAAGCAACTAGTTAATAGTGAGAATTTGACTCTAAACTAAAGTGTTACAAATGAATGATGGTGAAAAAAACATCTTCAGGATGAACTTGACCTCCACATAGTCTTCCATGATCCACTGCAAGCTTTCATTCACATCTGGCTCTATTCTGATCTGCAACATGATCCAATAAATTCCCCTTTGATAATTCAAATCCGGTTGTAATATTTGTTTTAACTGTTTCCTTAAGAAGTATCACGTTATGCGAGTTAAAAGGGTTGCTATTGTGTACTTTAAGGGTTTTGATTTATTATTTGACCATAGAATACAATAGATGAGATGTAGGCCTATATTTTCCACTAACGATTCTTCTTGAATACTGAATCATATTCCACTTTAAACAGGGCTAAAGTCTATGCTGTAATGGGTTTTGCCATCATAAATGAATCATTTTGATTCTGATACTTAAAATTAAAGTGAAATGCACATGTTATTTGTTTGCTCATCAACTTCCTTGTGTTGCTTGCTTTTAGAAATCCCAAAGCATTTTTGGCTTAAAGAGTGAAAGAGCTTTTCGGGCAAATTTTTCTTTTTATGTCAACATTTGCTGCACTGGTCTGAGCTTAAATGATTAGTCGGGAGTTTTGCTGTGCCAGCAGTCCAGCAGCACATGTCTTTAGACCTCTGAAAGCATCAGAGCGACTAACAAGACCTCTTATTCACTTCTCACAGCAGTACCTCATAAATATAGGTTTGCTCACTCACTTTCTCCTTATCCTTTTTTCCTTTTTCTGCCCTCTCTTCAGAGTTAGGGATGAACTGAGAATGAATGTCAACCAGCAACCTCACATGGCCTCTCCTTATGGGCAGCCTCAGCCTGGGTATCAGGGCTACCCTCAGCCTGGCTATGGGGGTGGCCACGTGCCATCGGGATATCCAGCTCAGTACGCACCTTATAACGGGCCGGGTTCTGCTTACCAACAAGGTCCACCGCAAGGTAAGGGGGTGAAAGTACAATATGATTGTTGTGACTGATTCAGAAAATGTTTATGACAGGTAATTATCATTTAATAGGGCCTTAAAGGATTAGTTCACCTCAAAATGAAAGTTTTCTGATAATGTATTTAACCCAATGCCATCCAAGATGCCATTCAATGCCATCATGTCTGTCTTTCTTCAGTGGAAAAGAAATTAAGTTTTTTAAGGAAAGGATTTTTCTCCACACAATGGACTTCAATGAAGTCCAAATTTATGCTGTAGAATGAAGTACTGCCTCATTATTTACAAGTGTGGAAGGGGAGGATCGTTCAAATTTTATTGTAGGTTGAATGACGTATTTATGTCAGTGTCAGTTTATAGTTTAAAATTGTCCTTTCGTGTGCTTATCCTGAATGTTTAAAACAATGGGGCGGTACTTCCGTCTACATCTAACGTGACCTTTGCAACGTGATTACGTAATGCCTTGCGCAGACAGCACAAGACAAACAATTGTGGTTAAAAAGTATATACTTTTTTTTTTAAGAAAATGACAGATCGTTTTGCTTGATAAGACCCTATTCCTCTGCTGGGATTGTGCAGAGCCCTGTGAAGTTCTCCATAGCCCTTTGAACAGCATTGATTTGGACTTCAACAATTTGATCAACGTTGAAGTCCATTGTGTGGAGAAAATTCCTGTTTTCCTCAATTAAATTTCTTTTCCACTGAAGAAAGAAAGACATGAACATCTTGGATGGCATTGGGATGAGTAAATAATCAGGAAATTTTCATTTTGAGGTGAACTAATCCTTTAAGGTCAATCTGCAAGGTCTGTATACTTGTGTATATTCAAGTTGTGCTTGTTCAGAGCACGAAGAAGAAAGTGACCTCCAGATTTATCCCTCCCAGCCTCCTCTTCTTACCCGTCATCTCCTGTTTTCACATTTTATTCCCATTTTTTACTTCTCTCTTTCTTGTATTGCAGGATATTCTCCTTATGCAAGCTTTCCCACTAAGACTCTTGCAACAAACTTAGTCTCTGACCTGTCCTCCTCCTCTCCTCTTGACCTAGGTAACTGGTTTAATTCTGCTTAGCAGCCTGTCCTCGTCTCTATTCCCTGTGATATTTACAACACTTTTTAAAAATAATTTTCTCTTTTTACAATAGTCTCAGTCTCCTTACATGTTCATTGAGTGAACTTACAAGTATCAATGGGGTTATTTGACTGCATTGGTATATTTGTAAGACTTATACACAGTACAAAATTGACACTGGTACCAAAACCAAGCAAAAATTCCCTTTGTCTATACAGAATTAGTTTGCACACATTTGGTTAGTGATGTAATCAACTGCAACATAATACATTTTGGCTTTTAGCCTATAATATTTTTTTTCCCAATCCCCTCCAGCTCTGTTTAGGTCCCACATTTTTGCATGTTTATTCTTTGCAATAAAAAATTCTTTCAAAAATTCAAAGTCATGAGAAAGAGTGAGAGAGAAAGAAAAAATGTCTTAAGTGTAAGGACAAACAAGTCTATATCATAGGCTGCATTATTGCTTATATTAAATGCCTTTTGTTGCTCAGATAATCATAAAAGTTTGAAAAGTGTGTTAAGCTTGGGACACACCAAGCCGACATCAAAGAACTAGCAGCGACAAAAGCTAACTCTGTTGTTGTCTGCTTCTGGGTCAAAAAGCTGCTTTCGAAAACACCAAAAGGACTAAAGGCGACTCAATTAGCACGTACATTCTGCGCGCAAGTAATTGCCTGTCTATATCAGCAGGTATCAATCTATTTTCATCATTCAAAAAGGGAAGCAAAACTAGGACTGCAGATATACAAACTGTAAACAAAGCAGCGTTGGCTTACCATTTTAGATATCCATCACACTGATCCCTTTATTCATTCCAGTTGGCTTGTTTTGAAAATATTTGTGCGTTCGAATGCTCAGGTAAGATTGATTTAAAATAGAACCGCTTTCTGTCTGTACCAACTTGACTTCTCTGCTCTCTTTGATCACTTTTGCTTTTATTCACGTCCACTGACTTCAGAGAATCAGAGTTTTCTCTCACTGTCGGCCTGACGCAGATTCAACATGCTGAATCAGCCCCGAAAAACCCGACGGCTTCCGATTAGAGCCAACCTCTAGAGGAACACACCAAAAAAAACTAAGCCGACTAACGATCAAAAACTGCTCGACTTTGTCCGATGGCTGACCGTCGGCTTGGTGTGTCCTGGCCTTCACTCAAACTTTTTAATTCTTTATTGTCTCTCCTCCTCTTAAAGGTATGAGAGGACCCCCCACTTCAGGGGCACCACCTGTCTCAGGTGCCCAGAACTATTCTCAGTTTGGGCAAGGAGAAACTCAAAATGGACCACCTCCAATGGGTGCTCCGCCACAGAGGTCAGTTACCTGTCATATCAGCACATAACCATGTTCCTTCACTCTTTCCGTTATCAATTTCGATTGGTTATAAATTATTTTCCCTTAGTGAAAGCAAAGTGAGTTATTTTTCATTCTCTGCATTATCTTGTCTTACTTTGATCTTACTTTAATTGCTCGTTCAGGCTTCCAGTGTCTCAACCTTACACTCCAGCTGTGGTGAATCTCTCTGGTCCTCAGCCCCCGTACGACCAGCAGTTTGGAGCTCCACCTGTCAGCATGCAGCAGATGACCAATCAGATGGCCAGCATGCAGGTTGGCTCCACTGCACCATCCCCTGCAGGCCCAGGCTATGGTAAATAACCTTTTTTGAAAAATTTAACGTCATAAAAAGATTTAGAGCATTGCTGTGATCAACAATTTGTTTTTGTTTTTTTCTAGCCCCTCCCTCTGTATCCCAGGCTCCTATCTCCTCTGCCTACACACCTGCTGCTCCTCCCACTTTCTCACTCGCCTCCACTGCTCCCACACAGCCTCCGCCTACTGAAGCTATGGCTCAGGCTCCCCCTAGGTCCTACTACGGAGCTCCACCTCCTGCCCAGCAGCCTTTCCCAAATGCTGCCCAGCCTTTCTCCTCCACTGGCCCAACTCAACCCCAAGCCCCACCACCTGTTTCTCAACAATCCTTCTCTCAAGTTCCACCTGTCTCTCAGCCTCCGTTTTCCACAGCCCTGCCTCCAGGTCCAACCCAGTCATATGGAGGCCCACTTCCTCCAACACAGCCCTCTTTCCCAAGACCTCCGCTTCCCACCTCCCAACTCTCCAATTTCCCTGGAGGGCCACCACCCACCTCAACTCCATCTCAGCTCCCAGGAGGCATGCAACCCCAACCACCAGTTTCCCAACCCTCACCTTACCACTCAGGCCCACCTCCAAACACTACTGGGTTTCCACCACAAGTTGGTGCTCCACCAAGGCCTCCCCTTGCTGGAATGCAAGGTCCTCCTCCAATGGCATCACAGGGCCCTCCAATGGCACAGGCTAATCATGTACCCCCTTCACAACCTGGCATGCCACCTAGTCCTATCAATGCTGCCCTGTCAGGGCCACCACCACAGCCTGGAATGCAGGGATATCCCCCTCAGCAAAATGGTGCGCATCATTGTTGTTAACTAAAAACTAAAACAAATTTTTTCAATCATGTGACAGGTTTGGAACAATTACATTTTTTTAATTTTGGGTGAACTAAATTTTAACAACCCTAAATAATTCACAAGACTTGGATTTTTGTGAATCGTTTTCCCTGTGATATTTTTTCCCTATCAGGTGCTTTCGGGCAGGTCAGAGGTCCTCAGCCTGGCTATGCAGGACCGTATTCTGGGCAGCCAAATTATGGAGCGCCACCCGCTGCACCTGCCCCAGCACCAGCCGCCCCAAAGAGGCTTGATCCTGATTCTATTCCAAGCCCGGTATGAAAAGCTCAGATCTGACGCACACAAATACCTCAAAATCACTGTCCACCATACCTCGTCCCACACATCTACTGTGTTAATTTCTTAAGTGTGTTTTTAACAGGGCACTTTAAACAAAATTAGTTCACTCCATGCAGAAACAATATTTGAACTTTTCTGTTCATGCATTACTTCTGTAACATTAACTTTCCAAAAATGGTTTTATTAGAAAGGGTTAAGGTTAGTTTTCTTTACACACAAAAAAAAAAAATCCAATCCTATAAAAAATGTTGTTCTGGGTTTTTTTTTTAGCTTTTCCTATACACCCTGTCCCTGTCACACTGCAGCTTTTAGGCATTGTTGTAAGAAATGACAATGTGGCAGCTTCTTGTAATACAAAGTCAGTGTAGAGGTTTGGTTCGTTTTCCACCCCGGTGGGCGTGGTTTTCAGATTATAGCTTGTGTCACTCTGTCTCTGTGCTACAATATGTTTTGTGTGTTTGCACGTGAGGCACCTGCGTGATCACCGGAATTTTTTTCCTTATGACAGCAGATAAAATAACATTATTAAACAGTTAATGGGAACTTTAAAAAAAACGGTTCTGTTCAGAACGATTAAACTTTATGTTCACATACACACCCACACACACACACACACACACACACATATACATAATATCCATCATTTTCAGTACTAATGCACTTGGATACACCCTCACTCACATACACACAGTCATACGCTCAGTAACAAAGAATATCTATGTATATAGATGTGTGATGTGGTTGTGTTAAGAAAGGCTTCTGGAGTCTCCTGTGTCTGATGTGCATGCACTATGGTGGCTATAATTAACAACAACACCCAGATTCATAGATTTAAGGCTTGAAAATTCTGCACGTGCCACCTTGCAATAACTGCACACATGTCTCTAATACTGCCTGCTAAACAATGTGATTAATTATCAGTAATTCTAGGCCTGGAAAAAAAACAGAGGAACCATAACTGTGGTTACACTTCTGTTTATCTTCTCTGCTCTCTCTCTCTTTTTCTTTTGTTTTGGCTTCTCTCTCCTCTCTTATAATTTGCTGACTAAATTGTTAAAATGTAAAGCAAGCCTCTGACATGCCGCCTGTGCAGAAAACAAGACATAGAATAGACCCAGATGCAATCCCCAGTCCAGTAAGTGCCTCGTGTCTCTCTGCTGTTCTGTCTTGTTGTACTGTATCCCAATTTCTCTGTTCCTTACTCTCAAAGGGATGCCAGTGACTCTATCTAGATGAATATTTTATTCTCTGTTCTTATTATGGAGCTTAGATGATGGCTCCGTGCAACATACCAACTTCCTTGTTGAAATGGACACACATGTATAACATGAATACTTAAAGTGATAGTTGACCCAAAAATGAGAGTAGTCAGCATTTACCCACCCTCATGTTGTTCCAGAACGGTGGCTTCCTTTCTTCTATGCCTTATTTTGTTCATACTGTGGAAGTAAATTATTTGCTTCCCAACTTTCTTCTAAATGTATTCTTTTGAAAAAAACATGAGAGAGAGTAAATAATGGCAATTTTGGTCATTTTATCCATTTAAATCAATAAATTCTTTGAATGATTTGGGATAATTTACTTGTATTTTATAATGTTTAGAGCAGTCATTGGTACCCACCCAAAACCATTCCTATTAACATTCCCGCATGCTATATAGTGACCGTGTGTGCATGACTGGCATGTTCTTATTTAGCTATGGTTTAATGGGCTCTCTCTAATGTAACATTATGGCCCATCATGTAAAGGAATATTCTGGAAGAATAGAGTAAGATGCTACTCAAGCTCTGTCGATGGCATCTATGGGATGACGAGGGCACTGATAGAGCTGCAGGGTTGATGTAATTTTGTTGGCCAACTCGAAAGTTAACATTTCTCTGGATTTCCCTTGCCAAAAAGATTTTCCATTGGCTTTTTGCATAAAATAAGCTAATAATAATGCAGTTTCTTGCTCATCAAGACAATATTTACAAATAAAAACAACTAGTGGGCTTTATAACCAAACACCTTATTTCAGGCATTTAACCAAGAACATTTTTACTTTCGGATGATGGAACCTAAAGTTAAAAAATGCCAACTCGCTTCTGTCTTTAGAACTCATTCCTGTAGCACTATATGCTCTTGTTTTGGAAGTTTATGGGACTGTTCAATAATATTAGGGCCAAACAGATAGAGACAGCATGTATCAGGTGCTGATTATTAAGCTTAACTTATTCAACCCTGAATATTCCTTTAATCTGTTTTAGATTAGCAGATGTGGCACTCAATTTTTAAACTTGCTGATCCTGTTTGGATTAGTTCTGTACGGGCATATAGAGGTTTATCTGGTGGAAGGTTGGGTTGGGTTGTGTTAGTTCATGAATAAAGGTGTGTCACTCTTTCATAGGCTGATATTTATTCTCTCAGATTCAGGTTATCGAAGATGATAAAGCAAACAAGGGAAGTGAACCTTTTACTACAGGGGTCAGAGGTCAAGCCCCACCTCTTGTCACCACTAAATTCCAAGCTAGAGATCAAGGTAAGAATAGAGATTAGATACATTTAGTGTATGTGTCAAATGGAAAACTAGCTTTAATATACTTGCTAAATTCTTTATACTGCATAATTTTTTTTTTATCATGAGTAAAACAATAGGCTTTATTTCACGATATTGCGGGTTTGAATAAAATCTGCATTATATTCATCTCTTTAAAGGGAATGCGAGTCCACGTTACATCCGTTGTACAGCCTACAACATGCCCTGCAATGCCGACATGGCAAAACAGTCCCAGGTGCCCCTCGCTGCTGTCATTAAACCCCTGGCTACTCTGCCTCCAGATGAGGTAAAAGGCCACATATGAATGTTGTTTATTGCCTTTTGCAAAATGATTGCAAAAGGGCCTGTGGGTAATGGCATGTCATTGCTTTTTACTGGCAGTCACCACCATATCTCGTGGATCATGGGGAAACAGGTCCCATTCGCTGTAATCGCTGTAAGGCCTACATGTGCCCGTACATGCAGTTTATTGAAGGTGGTCGTCGTTTCCAGTGTGGCTTCTGCAGCTGTGTCACCGAGGGTTAGTCATGATCCAGGAACACATTTATCATGTTGAATTCATCCTAATCAACATCTAATGTTTTTGTTTTCCTTTCACTCTCCTAGTGCCTCCCCATTACTTCCAGCATCTGGATCACACAGGGAAGAGGGTGGACTGCTACGACCGACCGGAGCTCTCAATGGGCAGTTATGAGTTTGTGGCTACTGTGGACTACTGTAAGGTACAGTATAAGTTCCAATCGTGCCACTTCAGTCTATGCTGGTATGTGTGAGATTGCTTAATTACATATTATTTATTGACAGAACAACAAGATTCCTCAACCGCCAGCCTTCATCTTCCTGATTGACGTGTCCTATAATGCTGTGAAGAATGGCATGGTAGGAATCGTATGCCAGGAGCTGAAGACACTGTTGGATTACTTGCCTAGGTGAGAGTTCAAAGTTTGAATCATCACAAATCTTTTGAGAGGGTGTCTTTGCATTTACAATAGTAAAATTTTGACATTGCCTATTTATTGTTTCTGCAGACAGAATCCTGATGTGGAATCAAACATTCGAGTTGGCTTTGTCACCTACAATAAAGTGCTTCATTTCTATAACGTGAAGGCCTCCCTTGCCCAGCCACAGATGATGGTTGTGTCAGATGTGGCTGACATGTTTGTGCCCCTACTGGACGGATTTCTGGTCAATGTCTCGGAGTCCCGGATGGTTATTGAGAGGTAGGCTTCGGTTTTTGTACACTGATTTTTGACCGTCGAAGTGGATTGATTATGAAAATGTTTGTTGCCCCCCAGTTTGTTGGATCAGATTCCTGAGATGTTTGCTGACACACGGGAAACTGAGACTGTGTTTGGGCCTGTTATTCAGGCCGGACTGGAAGCGCTCAAGGTATGTGATCTTATTGCATCAGCACAAGTTTCATAGTCTACAGTGAGTGTACATCATCATATGAATGTTAATGATTCCCACAACTCATTGTGGTTCAAAATGATATCAGCCTTGTAGCACCTTTCGAGATGTTACATGGAGCATTTCAGAAAAGTGTAGTGTTATTCATGGAAGATTATTTTTTGGCTTGAGTATTTTGTCTACCCTGACTGCAAACATTCTGTTATAATGACTGTTTTGTCATCTAGGCTGCAGACTGTGCTGGAAAGCTCTTTGTTTTCCACTCGTCTCTTCCGATTGCTGAGGCTCCAGGCAAACTGAAGAACAGGGAGGATAAGAAACTAGTGGGCACTGATAAAGAGAAGGTACCACCATGACCCTTTCCTCAAATCTCTACTCTCTGTCACTTGGGCCTGTCGCGATTAGTCAATATTAGCCAATATTTCCCGACTCTATCCTCGGGCTGGGCCCCTGATCTAGAGACGTGCACTCCCAACGCAATAGAGTGTGATATGGCTCTAGATTTGATTTAGACCATTTCCATTTCTGCAAGGGCTGGTGTTTGGATTTTTACTGTTTTGTATTCTTTTATGTAATTGGTAAATTATATGAGCCTATTTGATGATGGGTATGTTTTACTTTAGATCAATATTTGTGTTTCTGAGGCTCTTAAGAATGCATGCAGCTATCACCTGTGGTGCAAACAGTGGTGATTACATTGGTACTATATTATATTTTGATTTAATATCGTTATCACAATAAATACCAGTAATATTGTGATTATACAATATTAGTATTAACACAGGAGTAGTATTTTTATTGTGGTATTTATAAGGACGTTTTTAGGGAGACCCTCCCCATTCAACACATCCTGAAGTTTCTTCTATTTCTTTTGCAGTCATTATTCCAGCCACAAGTTAGTTTTTACAACACCTTAGCCAAGGATTGTGTGGTGCAGGGTTGCTGTGTGGACCTTTTCATCTTTCCCAACCAGTATGTTGATGTAGCAACGTTAGGGGTGGTCCCCACTTCAACAGGCGGATCCATCTACAAATACACCTACTTCCAGGTAAGAGAGAACTATACCACCCAGTTATATTACCATACATGACCAGATCAAAGAAATCTCCTTAACCAAACACAACATGCATTATGATTATTCGCGCTGTGGTTTATTTAAGGCTTCGACTGACCAGGAGCGTTTCCTCAATGACCTGCGGAGAGATGTGCAGAAGCAGGTGGGATTTGATGCAGTGATGAGGGTCCGCACCAGCACAGGTGAATTCACAGCTCTATACACAAGATTTGTAATGTTATAGTTTGATTTTTCTTCATCCTGCCATTTACTTACCGCAATATATTTATACACTACCATCCAAAAGTTTGGGGTTGGTATGATTGATTTTTTTTTTTTTTTTTTTTTTTGATTAAAAAAAAAGAGAAAGTTTATGAATGAAGTTTCTAATTCAATGCAGCATTTATCAGAAATACTGTAAAAAAGTTATCATTTAAAATAATTGTTTTCTCTTTTAATATATTTTAACATTTATTTTATTCATGTGATGTCAGAGCTGAGTTTTCAGCAGCTTCAATGTCACATGTTCATTCAGAAATGATTCTAATATGCTGATTTGGTGCTCAAGAAACATTTCTTATTACCATTTCAGCATTTTAGACTTTTAAACGGTGGTGTAAATTCCCTCTCATCATGACAGAGGTGCTCAACTTCAAAAGCCAAGAGGGACAATTTAAAACCACGACAGATTTATTTATAATTGCCCCACAAAAAGCCCAAATTTATATGTGTAATTTTATGATTTGGTTTGTATTACTGTTCTTTGGTAAAAATGAGTTTTTATTACATTTTATTAATGTTTATTTATTTTTTTAAAAATGATCATTGATTTAAAATACTGGCATAAAGGCTGAGTTGAACTTGTGTTTTGTGATGTGGCAGGTATCCGGGCAACCGACTTCTTTGGTTCCTTCTACATGAGCAACACCACAGATGTAGAACTGGCAGGACTAGACTGTGACAAGACGGTTACCGTGGAGTTCAGACATGACGACAAGCTCAGCGAGGAAACTGGAGCTTTAATGCAGGTGTGTGTGTGTGTGTGTGTCTAGTCTTGCACACATATGTGAAGCGTCAGCTACACTGAATTCAGTCAGCTCAACATTTAATCACCTCAGCCGTGCTGACCTTTTTGTCTGTACTTTTTTTTTTTTTTTTCTTGCTCTCCCTTCAGTGTGCTGTTTTGTACACCAGCTGCAATGGTCAGCGACGGCTCCGGATCCATAACATGGCAGTGAACTGCTGCTCTCAGCTGGCAGACCTGTACAGGAACTGCGAGACTGACACCATCATCAACTTTTTCGTCAAATATGGTGAGTGAAACCACACGCATCCTTTCAAACCGGTTGGATTAACAGCTTCTCACTGCTTCCTGCAGTAGTATTCTATGGGCCACCTCTGGTATATCGTTTCATTTTAATTTGAAAAATTCCGATTCTGCATATCGATTCCCATTGTCAATTTCAATAAGGTAAAAATAAACTTGGATTTCATTTACGTTTATTCTAAATTTACAAGTCTTATTGCAAAACATTTAATTGTTGAAAACCATAAATAAAAAATCAACAGGCTACACAAGGATTTAAAAATATCAGATCAAAAACAACTAGCCTAACTAATATAAATTTCAAGCATTATTAAAAACAAGTAAACACTGAGTAATTAAAAAAGAATGAATAAACAAATTAGCAATCACACAAATACATACAACTGAACAAAGATGCGATTAAAAAGTGTTTTAAGATTTTCAGGTATTTCCGAAATCAAATGTAAAATAACGCTGCAATTTATAAATAAATTACATATACATTACAAATGTAGTTACAAAAGTTATTAAGAACAGTGAGTGAATTTTCTCTGTCTTTAGTTGTTTTTAATTAACGTTATAGCAGCAGTAATGCTGTCACTTTAAGAGCTGCACAGATCACAGATCGCATCACATTTGATTGCAGAATTGGAATCGATTTTTGATTTCCCAACCCCATTTTGTTATTTATTTTCTTTTGATTTAACTTTTTTGTTTAATTTTTTGTTTGCTTTGTTTTGGTTTTAGTTTTGTTTTCAAGAGGGAAAGTTCCCTCCTCCGTCCACACACATTTTAATAAAACTAGACTGCAAATTCATGAATCAATTGTCATGATTGATCGTCATAACCATCAACACCTACATATTCAGCAGCTTTGTGGGACATTATTTTGCATTTCACATGTTAGTTAATCATAAAATAGGTCATTTATGTCTTAAAGGTCCAGTTTGAATTTTTTTTTTAATTGTTTTGGGACCATCTGAATGAATTGTTAACGAATATATTGTTGAATGTGTTGGCAGCATATCGGAGTATACTCAGCAGTCCTACCAAGAATGTACGTGATAGCCTGGTGAATCAGTGTGCACAGATCTTAGCCTGTTACCGCAAGAATTGTGCCAGTCCATCTTCAGCAGGACAGGTAAGTAAAGAAACCTACCCACAAAAACAGTGCTAAAATGAAGACAAATACTGTTTCTAATGATTGTATACACAAGTTACCAATTAAAAGTTTGGGGTTGGTAAGATATTTGTTTTCGAAATAAGTCTCTTATGCTCACAGAGGCTGCATGTTTTGAATCAAAATTACAGAGATATTTTTATTCAGCAAGGTTGCATAAAATTGATAAAGTGTCAGTAAAGCTTTTTGTTGAACTTTTTATTCATTCTAAGAATCCTGAAAAAAAATATTAAGCAGCTCTTTTCAACTGATGTTTTTTTGACTACCAAATCAGCATGTTATAATGATTTCTGAAGGATCATGTGACCATAAGACTGGAGTAATGATGCTGAAAATTCATTTAAATTTGAAATTTAAAGCTGAAATAAAGCTGAAATTTTTTAAATAGGCTATAATAAAATAAAAACGTTATTTTAATTTGTAATATTTAACATATTTCAAGCCATGGTGATGCTTTCAAAAATGCTTTTGTATATATAATTAAAATATAATAATTAAAAACAAAATTTTTTTATACTGAATACATTTATTTATATTTACCATCAATTCAGAACATCTACTAGCCAAAACATAAATATCAGAAATAAACCAGATCAAAGTCACAGCTTAGATTTAAATATATTTATTATTAAATCTGATTCTGAATCATTGTATTGTTTTCAGCTTTAAAACAGTCAATATTTTGTGGATACCGTTCAAATAAAATAAAATGGAAATAAAAATAAAAACAAAATTCTCTGTGACTTCTCTTTATAATAACCTGCACGTGGCAATAAATACGCTAGGGTGCTTTTTGCCCAAAAGTCTTAGACATGCGGCATTTATGAGAACGGTTTGGAAAAAGTAGTCTCTTAATTGTCTCCTAGGGCTCTGGCGGCACAGCAGACGGGAAGCGCCACACCGCAGACATCTCACAGGCAGGTTTATCGCACACCGGTCGCGTCTTTCGCTTCTTTCTGTACTCGCGTTAAGTGTAGAATGAACAGTGGCGTCGATGAGTTTGAAGTGAGGTATTTGAAAAAACAGTGCAAATGGAAAGAGAGTGCGATGTATATACAATAAATAACTTGTACAATACAAGATCTCCTAGGGTAAAGTCAGTACGTGCATATTTGTCCTAAATCGTTGTATTTTAATGGAAAACTATGTGAATGACGATGATTAGAAACCATGTGTTGGTTTTCATTGCAAATTCAAATTCATTCACACAATCAGTACAAAACAGCGCTAATATAAAAAAAAAACCTGGCTTTTTAGAGAGATCACTGACAGGGGCGCAACTACCCAGTTTCAGAGGGGTATGCAGCAACAATTTTAGCGCCCCCCCCCCCCCCCCCTCCAAAAAAAAAAAAAATAATAAAATAAATGTAATGTAAGTGTGCTGTGTAATAAGTGAGTAGGAAGAAATGAGAGCTAACAGAAAAAAATAAGTGCAAAATTGTCGTTTATTAACACAATTAAACTATAGCTACTCCACCTTGATGAACCCCCCTAAGAAAACTATAAGCTCCATTGGAACAGCAATACCAGTGTTTCTCACAGGATTTTAGGTAAAACTGGTAGGTGGACCTCTGTTTCTCTAGGGGGGTTCGGGGGCACGCTCCCCCGTAATAAAATTTTGTGTTCTGTAATGTTAAATTCAGCAGTCTGGTGCACTTTGAGAGTTCAAAATTAAAAGCTCCAACCCATATTCAGGGTGCAAATTAAACAGAGAAAAATTTGAACCTCTTTTAGTTAGTGTCTGTCTAAATTACACTACTACAAAATAATAGTTATTATGTTAATCCCATGATAGTAATTGCCATAAAGGCTATTGTAAAACAAATGCACAGAAAAATAAAGGAAACTTTCATAATTAGTTTTGCACTAATTTCTATACTTGAAAGATACTTGCGCATAATGACATATTTCATGGGCCAGTGTGTCAGAAAAAAAAAACCTAAAGCAGATTTTTTTTGACCAATGCATTACACCAGCACAGCGCCGCCAATTAAGCAAAAAACAAAACAAACAACAAACAAACAAATGGGCCGCCGATGTATGAGTTTTGTGGGCCGTTAAGACAAATAAATTAAAAAAGGATGAAATGTATTGGCTGAAAAGCACGTCGGCCCAGCGGGAATCTCCCGGTAGTCCCGATGGCCACCGAGATATAGATAGCCTACATGCCTGGATGTCACATTTTAAATCCTACCTGTTGGATTTCAGCAATGCATGCAGTTATTTAGCTGCTGTCGCATCAATTGACATGCCATCTCCTTTTCTCTCTTTCTTTTTCTATTTTGAGCACCACAACATGTTGTTTTATCCATCTTTTTCGACGACAACTAACTACTCGTACCTACTCGCTCAGTGCTCACGGCGCCCCCGCCCGCTCGCGATATTACCCGCCCCCCTTCTCCATGAGGGCGCCTACTCTAGCCTGGCTGTTAGTCCTCTAAAATTTTATATAACATTGAAGGAATGCAGAAATGATTTAGAAACGCACAACGACAGCTACATATAGAAATAGCTGCCGTTATAGCCTATATATAATTTTTTTTTTTTTTTACCATCGCTTTGGCGCCCCCTATTGTGCTGCGCCCCTATGCGCCGCATATAGCGCATACCCACTTTTTGCGCCACTGATCACTGATTCACTTGCAGCCATTTTCAATGAATCCATTCCAGTGTCTGTTCAGCTCTAAAACACGAGCTCTGTCATGTTTTGAGGAGCGCGAGCCCTAACACACTGTGTGAAATACAGACTTAACTGAACGTCAAAAAATTAAACCGCTGAATGGCCAGATGATACGCAAACTATGTTTCTCGGCTGAATAAAGGAAACTAGCATCCTCGCTTGTAAAGTTTTGATAGATGCAGATTATAATCAAGGTAAAGACGATTGCAGTGGCGTACATGAGTGGTACAGTAAGCATGCGTGAGTTTGTCATATTGATGTGCAAACAAACAGTGTATTTATTTGCACTCTTGATGCACTGATCGCACATTGTATTCATGCACAATGCACAGACATGGTTCACCACATTCAGAATAATGTTTTTATCTGTCTTGTGTATGTTGCTGTGTTTAGTAATCCCTGTAGTAGGTATATGGAGTCAGGTCAAGGTGGATAGTTTACTTGTTTTTGTTTTTTTCTCTCATATACAAAAAACTAAAATTCCCACGGGTGCTTTGGTGTGCTAATGTATTAATGTATGGAGTGCTTATATAAATTTAGATCATGTACCTTTCTTTCAGCAGCTCACTCTGTGTATTTTCCATGTGCATTTTATCCTTAGAAATGGGTTATAGACTACTGTAAAGCAACATAATTGGCTGATTATTTTCCGGTCACAGCATGCAGACGCGACTCGTCGTTAATCGAAATTCGTTGTCGATTATTTTCGTTGTATCATTATCTATTATAATCGATTTTACCAATTAGTTGTTGCAGCCCTAGATGGTCGTCATTTGCTATATCCAGCAAAGTAAACTAACAAAATAAACAAGTTGAACAAGATTAATGGTGTATGCTTAATTTTACAATAAGTAGGGCTATGCGATTAATTACGATTAAAATAAATTGTATCTATTTACCGCTCTTATATATCTCAATAATTCTGTCATCTAACATTGTATTGATATTTTCTTGTCTATTTGTCTGTGTACAGTTGATTTTACCAGAATGCATGAAGCTGCTGCCCGTGTATCTGAACTGTGTGTTGAAGAGTGACGTTCTGCAGCCCGGGGCGGACGTCTCTCTGGATGACCGGGCCTACCTGAGACAGCTGGTCAGCGCTATGGATGTGGCCGAAAGCCATGTGTTCTTCTATCCTCGGCTCCTTCCGCTGGTGAGAAACAAACAATATCATTGCCCCATTTGATTTTGTAATCGAGCTGTGATGGTTACGTTCTCGGTTTCTCTACAGCAACAGCTGGATGTTGAGAGCATGTCTCTGCCTGTGGCAGTGAGAGACTCGGAGGAGAGACTGTCTAGGGGAGGAGTGTACCTCTTAGAAAACGGATTGAATATTTTCCTTTGGGTGGGGGTCAATGCCCAGCAGGAGCTGCTTCAGAACATCTTTGGCACAACTGCCTTCAGCCAGATAGACCCCGGCATGGTACGACCCTTTATAAATGCTAAATTTCAAAGAAAATAAAACAAGCATATTATCCACAAATCATTCGTTTTTTACCTCATACAGAAGCTTTTTTATAGCTCCACCTTATAAGCACGTGAAACCAAGATACTTGAACTGTTTTTGCATGCTAAATTTTGTTTTTTAAAATGTTATGTGAACATTGCCAATTTTTATTGTGTGTTTTGCTGGTTTAGACATCTCTTCCGGCTTTGGATAATCCTTTTTCAAAGAGACTGAGGGAGATTATTGAGTCTGTCAGGGCACAGCGCTCACGATACATGAAGGTAAATACGTCACAGGGCTTGATATTATGCTTTTGCAGATTTTTGTGATTTGGACAGCTGAAAAGATTGTTTACTTTTCATTTGTGTTTTTTTTTTTTGTTGTTGTTTTTTTCTAGTACAATAAAATTATTAACAAAATGAGCTGAGCATGAGGAATAGGAAGGCAAGATAATCCAGGAATTATCCATGACTTTGATTAAGGGGAAAAACAGAGGATTTTCCAGTCCAGATTAATGTTCATCTATGATTTATTTCTCACTACTGGGTCACTCATGATTATAAGGTGTTTTTACACTGGAGTCCTCCTTAAAATAACCATATTTAGACCAAAAAAGGAAGTAATAATGGAAAAAGAACCTAGCTTGCTTTCACACTGTCTGTCGCCTCTTTCTGGACCACATAGTCATGCTGGGGATTTAATTAATTTATTTTAATGGGTGGGTTCTTGAAAATGCTAATTGTTTTGACATTTATTTATTTATTTTGTGGTTTTGTAATTTTGCCACTTTGCCAACAGCTATTAATGTTCTTTCCTCCATTAGTTTACTTGCATTAATTTTTTTTTTAACCTAAGAATTAATGAATTTAACTTGTTTTCTTTCAGCTCATGGTGGTGAAACAGGAAGACAAGCTGGAGCTGATTTTCAAGCACTTCCTGGTGGAGGATAAGAGCAACAATGGTGGGGCCTCTTATGTGGACTTCCTGTGTCACATGCACAAGGAGATTCGTCAGCTCCTGAGCTAGGAGCATCGGGTCCACCCTCCTCCTCCTCCTCCCTTGGCTCTGTACTCAGAAGCGCTTTAACTTTTTATTTAACATAATAAACACAAATCCCTTTGCCCATCATCTTCTCTTCCTCAAGTATAATCTCATCCACCCAGACTCTTGAGGAAGATGCCACCTTTTAAAGGAAATGTTGCTTCGTCAGATTACGGTGTTCTTTTGGTTTTAGTGGTGGGAGTTTTGACCCGACCTTCTCCTCCTCTTTTGATGGCAGGCTCGTGAGACTGTGTGATAGGGAAGAAGATGTGCTGTTGTTACCGCTCTACAGCTGATCTGGGATCAGGATACGTAGCCTGAATTAGAGCTTAACCCACTTTGTGACACGAACAGCTACCCAGTTTTAGAGTGTGCTTGACTGTGAACTTCGATGCTGATTGTACTGGGTGTTTTGACTGTGAGAAACACTAGCACTGATTGATGGCCTCTAGGTACAGAGGGACAGAAAAATAACCGAATTAGAAATTAATCTAGACCTATTCGGAATACAGTGAAATGAAATCCTTCATCTTATTCCAATATGAATCAAAGATGTTTTAGAACAAGTTAGATTCATGTCTACCCAACTATTTGTTTTGTTTTTTTTCTGCTTAAGTTCTGTTTCCCTTTGATTTATCGCTCTCAATCTTGGCCTTACTGATCGTGTCTCTCCTTTTTCATCCGTTGTTCTGTTTATCTTGTCTAATTTCTGTAATTTTCACCTTTTTAATGTTTGCGAAAAACCTAACAGACTCTGTGGGAGTGTGAAGTGTGCTGTTAATCATTCAAAATGTCTTTTACTCAGAACTTATTTGAAATAAAAGTCTATGCATTAACTTATCTTTGAAAGAGAGGGAAAGCTGTTCAAGATCCCGACGAATATTATCTGTCTTGCCATCACCCTCATCCTCACCGTAAGATGCAGATACGTCTAAAACGTATGAGTTAGTGTTGGTTCTGCGTCCTGATGAGGAATATGGATCCTCACGGATGCCCGGACAGGGAGTTGAATTTCAGATGAGCCTCTCGTGAGGATGTGAGTTGTCGAGTCCCTTCAGATGGTTCAGTAATTGGGCATACATTACAGAAGCATTCTGGCATTCATTTGAGTTCCCTTTTAAATTCCTCTTTTTTTTTTCTTTACTGTATGGTCTGTTAGTAACCTGTATATTACATGTGCTTGATCATCATGTATCAGTTATGATTTAATATTATGTTCTAAATCTGTGTGAAGGCTTATGGTTTTGTGCAGGTGGGGTCTATCTGCTCTAGGATATTACTCTTTGTGCAGTGGAGGCCTGTGCTGCTGAGAGTGGAGTGTGGGACTCATTAGAAACTGACCATTTCTAACCGCTTTTCCAAGGGAGTGACGTCAAGCACATGTGGAATTGTGACCTTAAAAGCAATCAACACTGAATACCTTGTCATCACATTTATTACATGTACAGAATTAAAAATCACATTTTAAAAATGATGTCAAGCTAGTGTGCTTTGTTGAATCTTTAAGTGAACTGCATATGATGTTTGGGTGAGCTGAACGATTATTTTCTTGTCAGTGCTCTGAAGTCTTTTACAAGCTCATCTTAGTCCTTTCACAGACTTTCTGAAATATATCATTATCTCTATCCAATATTACAGAGCTCTTTTATATAGAGGTGTGTGTTTATTTATTGAAGTTATCCTAGTGAGGTTCTCTTTAAGAACGGAGGGATAGCCTTTTTTTCTTATCTTTATTTTACATTTGGCAGACACTTTTATCCAAACCGACTTACAGTGCATTTCAAGGAACACATTTACATTTTTATCAGTTCTTACTTTCCCTTGGAATCGAACCTATGACCTTGGTGTTGCAAGCACCAACGCACTACTGTTTTAGCTACAGCATAGCCTTGTTTCCTGTACATAAGAATTTTGTGTTTGTCTCTAACCCATATTTGTTTATGTTGGCCATATGCTCAATGTCTTTCTTGTTGCATCTGACTGCAAATAAATAACTATATAAATTCATTCATTGACTTGAGTCCTGCCCGTACAAATTCAATTCGGTTTCTTTACTGGATTCGGGTTACAATTGGATGGCCAAATGTTGCAGAAGTGAACATTGAAATTTTAAGTCTAAGAATTTAACAACTTTTCATTTCATTTGTTTCAAATGAGGTAGCTCTTGTGTTGTGATTTCTGATCACACGCAATGCTCGCACACAAAAAAAAGGAAGTGATGTAATGGTTGCTTTAAAGATGTGTTTATTGATGCCATGCTAGTTCAGATTTGGCCTATACTGTGTAAAAATTAAGTTGTCAGTTTTTTAGGAGTACACAAGCATACAGATGGCCTTGGTGTGGGTTAAACCCCGCAAAATTTGACAGAGAAAGACTGGTATACGCATTGCATCATGTGTGTCAGATTCAGAATTAAAGACATGCCAAACACTCCTCAATATAATAAGTCTGAGCAGATATCTCTTCTAATCAAATTGTTTGTTAACAGACTGTTTATTAAAAAGCAATAAAGACACACTTCTAATAAATTGATTATATTTTGAAGTATTATCAAATGTCAAGCCAAAGTATTCTAAATTGTTAGACATAGCCTAAGCAAACAAAAATTTAACATACATTACGAAACTGTTTACAACTGTTTTTTCACACAAAGTATTCTCGTCGCTTGAACTTATCTCGCACTTATACTTGAACCACTGTAGTCACATGGAATATTTAAACCTTCAATGACTTTCTGGGCCGTCAAGTTTCCACCTCTCAAATTTTATCAAAAAAAAAATCTTGTTTTCCGAAGGCTGGTACAGCATGGGGGTGAGTAATTAATGACTTAATTTTCATTTTTGGGTGAACTATCCCTTTAAGATTGAGATTTTTAAAAATGTCTTTAACTTTTCTAGGCCGGAGGAGGGCTTTCAGATTTAATCAAAACTCTCTTAATTTGTGTTTCGAAAATGAACGGAAGTCTTACGGGGTTGGAACAACATGAGGGTGAGTAATTACTGACAGAATTTTCATTTTGGTGAACTAAACCTTTAACTATGACTGAGTAGATGATTATCTAGTTTATTGTGACAGAATGCGACAGAGAGCAACCGTTACGCAATGGTATGACGTGATAGTATGTCCCAAAGCTTGTGTACACTTTTGCTACACACTAAAAAGTATCTACTTTTTCTTCACAAAAATAGTACACAGCTTTAGGCCGTAGTATAAATAGGCGAATTGAGACGCAGCATCAGTTTCCTGGAAAGGGTAGCATAGACAGTGAAAGATATTAAATACTTCCAACGGGACAGAAATCTGCTGCACTCATCAAGTGAAGTGGAAACTGCTTCCTTTAATCATATTTTTTCAGCCTCTCGTCTGTCGTTTTTGTTCATTAAAAGACTTTCTTTAACTTCCTGGGTAATAACTCAACATCTGCCTTTTCCAGTGAGACAGCAGTATTATTGAGCCTAGTATGCAGAGTATGAAAATGACCTATACATTACACTGAAGTTCACTAAATAAGACTTAAATTAGATCAAATAAGAGGCTTACATTATTCATGTTATTACATTTGCTTCGAATAGGCTACCTCTTATTAAATATAATGACTAACAGATGTCACTAAAATCTGTCCTGAAAAAATAATAATATGTCTATCAATTTAAAATATGTAATTCATGGGTGATGAGGACTAGGTTTAATGCCTTTAATATGTTAAAGACCACTTTTTTTTTATAAATATTTTGACGGTTGGAGCTTGTAAATGCTGTCCAATTAGAGCGCTGCTGGCCCTGTGACATCATGGAGAGTGAACCCAGGGAGACTGTGGCTCATGGAGAATTCCCTGTTTGTGTGAGGCAAATCAAGCCTTTGACACCTGCAGTGAGATCAATTGCAACCCACATCAGATGCTTAGCATTAACAAGGCCCCTGCCACCCTCCTCTCTCTCACACACACACACACACACACACATGACACACCTCACGTTCTGCTTTGGACACTGTCTCTCTAAATCCAAGGCAGAGGTGATTAGTCCCTGTCCCATATGACTGCTGTTTTGATAGCCCGCGAAAAGCACTGTGACTGAGACTGCTGGATTATCTCAGCTATACCTGCAACCAAATCACTGAACATTTCTTCCTCTGTTTTCAATATGCTGACTATTTACAACCCTAGATATTTAAATAGCATCTCAAATCACGTGGCTTGTTGGGGAGAGATATGCTATACTTTTCTAATTAATTGAATTTTTAATGTTGTTTAAAGGAGTAGTTCACTTTAAAAAAAACTTTTGCTGATAATTTACTCACCCCCATGTCATCCAAGATGTCCATGTCTTTCTTTCTTCAGTCGAAAAGAAATTAAGGTTTTTGATGAAAACATTCCAGGATTTTTCACCATATAATGGACTTCAATGGGAACCAAGGTCCAAAAGACAGTTTTAGTGCAAACTGCAAACTGTTGAAAGGGCTTTAAACGATTCCAGACGATGAATAAGGGTCTTATCAAGCAAAACGATCGCTCATTTAAAAAAAACAACAACAAAGTTTAAGTTTTATAAGCTAAAATGCTCGCCTTGCTCTGTTAGGGTTAGGGTGTGACGCGCGTTCGTGACTCTCCTATTCGAACTCGTTCATCAAAATGAATGAATCTTTTCCCGAGTCAACTCATTCATTTTGTTCGTTGAATGAACCAAATGACATGAAAAAAGATTTGTTCATTTTGATAAACGAGTTTGAACAGGAGAGTCACGAACGCGAATCACAGAACAGAGCAAGGCGACAATTAGAGCTTATAAAACTTAAACTTCTATTTTTTTTTTAAATCAGGGCCTGAAGTTAACTTTTTCAGCCACTCTGGCAGGTGGATTTAAAAATCCACCTGCCACAGAGACTTTTTACCCATTTTTTATTTATTTTTTTGCCTCATAAAGGTGAAAAAAAAAACAGGAATTTCACAATATTGTTCTTTAACTTGTAAGAATACACATTTAAGTGCTGTCAAGTAATAATAACTCTAAGAACATACATTTTTTATTCACTGATTGACACACACACACACACACACACACACACACACACATATATATATACATACATACACACACACACACACACACACACATATATATATATATATGTGTGTGTGTGTGTGTGTGTGTGTGTGTGTGTGTGTGTGTGTGTAGATAGACCTAAGGTCGGTATGTACACAAATCACATGCGGCTGTGTTGATGTCTGATTTAGTCACTGTGATAGATGTGACCAATAAAGGATAAGAGAACACGGAGGCAGCAGGCTACTGCAAACGTTTAGGGGTTTATTTCCACAGGATGGGGTTACAAAAGTAAAGCCAATGCTAACCCAATGGTGGTAAACCAAACATACCAAAAATCAAATAACCAAAAAAGCAAACAACAACAACAACAACAAAAAAAAACATACAATAACGTTGGGTCACTGCATTTGCCTCTCAAACATTTACAGAGGTCAAGGGCTAACAGAAACTGTTCTCTCACACAGAACACTAACTCACATACAGAAACAATTAACAAACAAATGTATACCTTGGTGGCCAGCACCAATTAACACATAAAGGGGGATACACAAACATATAATTGCCATTACACACAATAAACGAATATGAAAACACCCAATATACATAAACACCTCAAATAATAATAACTTCACTTAATAAATATACTTCTTATTAACAAACAAAAGAAAAGCAAGCAAAATAGTCCTTGAAGTTTCCCCGGAGAAGAAACCGGAATGGTTGTGGCCGATCATCCATATAAACCCGGAACCATATAAATATGTCCAATGTTTCCACTAGAACCCCTTTTGATGGTGCACCAGCTCACGGGACTCAGACCTCAGACGTATCAAACAAACAAAAGGAACGGTAAGAATAAACTTAAACTAAACGTTAAAGAGTGTGCACTCTTACCTCCAAACGAAAGTTTAAATAAAGTTTATTAAACCAAAATAATGCTGTTGTGTACTCTTTACTGTAAACAAATTCTATTAAATAAAAACTCAAATGACCTGACCCAGGCTTACCAACATCCGCTACAGTCACGTAGACAGGTCTTTACAGCTTTTTAGTTACAGCGTTCGGGAACTATTAACTATGAACTAAATTAATATTGTTATTACTGGTAGAGTTACCGGGTACCAGACATTTTCTCACCGGTTCCCAACTCCCAACATGCACAGTTGCACACGCACATACATCTATGCAACTGTCATTGTACTGTAGCCTACATCAGCGTTACATTGTCTCATCCCATCTCACCAACAGTTTAATACTGGCACATCTAAACATAGTCAGAAAAGGGCCTCATCTTCATGAACATTACGAGCAGCCATGATTGAACTTTGCCATTGCCGCCAATTGTCCACTTTGTATTAAAATATCTTTTACTTTTCTTTTTCTCATCCTCATCTTTTTGTTGGTTGTTTGTTTCAGCTGGCCTCTTTAACCC